GCACCTTTGTTAAGTTAACCCCAAAGTAGGTCAAATCATTTAGACATTATTTAGCAACAGGAGTCTCAGGATTTATATCAATGAAAAAAATATTATATAGAAATTGATATTTTTCCAGGAGTGCAATGTAGAAGATTCTTAAGGCTTTCAGTTATCATAATTATAGAGTTACATCAATGTTTAAATTTAAAATAACTGTGAAAAAGAAATAGAGATATTTTTTATCGATTTTACAATGTAAATAGATCAACTAACAAAGGTAGTCAGGGAAAAAGAGAAAATGGCCACAGGTCGACAAATTGATACAGACATTCTCTCGGATGAAATATTTGACGTATTATGTTCAATGTGTAGAAATGAAGGCAGGAACACTGAAGGTGAAAAATACTGTGTAGATTGTAAAGATTATTTCTGTGTTAGTTGTGTCAAAGTTCACAGTAAAGTGCCTTTATGTGCTGGTCACAAGGTATTGGATAAATCTCAAGTTAAGTCAGGAACCAGTAAAGCTTTGCCGAGGGCACCAGCAGAGAGATGTGACAGACACAGTCATAAACACATTGATATGTACTGTCAGAACCATGATAATGTTGGCTGTTCTACATGTATGGCAGTTGATCACAGGTAAACTATAGTATTTAAACAAAGATATTTTTAAGTAAGTACATGTATATGGAATGTTTAGTAGGTACTTTTTATAATATTTTAAGACTATCTTATAAATATATAACACTAAATAATATCAACTCCCACTACATCATTCTCATAACCTCATAAACTGTTTGAACTTATTTTTCAGATTATGTAAAGAAACATTCTACATACCAGAATTTATCCAAAACAATACTTACCAAGTTGAATCGAGAGACATTCAAACAAAACTTAAGGAAACAGCCAAGACCCTTGAAAAACAAGCTGATAGATTTAAACAGGATAAACAAAAGCTGTTAAAGAGGAAAGCAGAAATACTGGCTGATATCAGAAAATTCAGACAAGAACTCAATGACCAACTTGACAAGCTGGAGAAAAGTTCTATTGATGAGATAGAAAGTAAAGTCAAATGTCTTGAAGACAAAATCGAAGACAGTTTAAAACAGCTACAAGCAAATAAGTCCAGGATTAGATCAGCTAATGATAAGCTAACATCTACAAACACAAATCATTCTAAAGTGTTTGTTAATGTGAAGATGGGAGAAGATGCTGCAAATGTTGCCAAAAAATATATGGAGCATGTCAAAATAAAAAGTACAATAGAAGACATAGAGTTTCAACCCGACAGAACAATTCTTACACAGTTAGAACAAAAGAAAACCATAGGTATACTATCAGAGAAACCTGCAAAGACTGCTGACAATTTATTTCAGACTAAAGGTAATCAGTCATATAATGTAAAAGCTAAGTCGGATAAAGTTGATTGTGATATCATGAGTGCCTGCTGTATGGAAGATGGTACAATAATTCTAGCTGATTTCAGCAACAATAAGCTTAAACGGTTACACAGTTACAACTATACTGTCACAGACTACTGTGATCTACCTGAAAGGCCATGGCAAGTGTGTATGATCAATAACACACAAGTAGCAGTAACTGTTTCATCAAAAAAGGAAGTTCATTTCATTTCTCTAGAAAGAAATATGAAAACAACGAACAAGATTAACACTGGTTTTGATTGTTTCGGTCTTGCATATGCAAACAGTAATTTATATATCTCAGATTTCACATCAATATATATGTATACATTATCAGGTAAGAAACTTAAACAGTTCAGTAAGGATCAATCAAGACAAAAATTGTTCTCTTACATACATAGTCTAGCTGTAAGTAAGGATGCTACTAGGATTTATGTTGCGGACTTCAATAATGAACTGATAGTACTGGACAACAATGGTCAGGTTATTACATCATTTAATGATGGACAACTAAAGGGGGCAAACTGTTGTTATCTCACTGAAGCAGGTAGTGTGCTGGTATCTGGACTTTTATCCAATAATGTTTTACAGTTTACATGTGATGGTAAGCTGATAGGAGAGGTTATAAAAGTTGATAGTGGAACATGGGGATTTAGATCAGTCTGGTGTAATCAACAAATGACAAAGATGTGTATAAGTAGATTTACAGATGACAACATTGAAGTGTATGACATCTATAACCAGTAAAACATTGATTCACAAAAGAAAAATAAACATGTTTTTAAATATATGCCTTTCTCTTAAAATGTATGCAAAGAGTATGACATGTTTTATTTATTATAGGTAATAATTTCTTTTGGAATTCCCATTTTTGAATGCATCTGGTTTAATTATTATTTGTTATATTACATAAAAACTACTTAACTGTTTGAACAATATGAAAAAAAAATATCATGTCATGTGAGTATTTGGCAAGCATAGAGTTGTTTAGTTTAACGAGTTCTATAAATTTAGAGATAAATACAAAATGATAATTTTTTATATTCACTACATGCCAAAAATAAAAATGGTACACAGTAGAAAAGAGTATTTCTTTTTATTGATGCACATATACATGTAGTGCAATGCTAATATTTAGCATATTTTGATGTTTGAATAAAACAATATCATGTTAACTTGTGGTTACACTAGTGTAATATTCATGTTCATTTAATGGCTTGTTTTATACCTCTGTGCATGAATGAAATAAAATTCTAATCTTAAAACCTCTTTAGTCATTACCTCAACCCCAGAATGCATAAAGTTGGATTCATACAAAAAACCAAATATCTACGATAAAACAGAATAAATGATGGCTTCAAGTACCTTCCATGAACAGGCTCAATCAAACCGAGCCTGCAACATTTTCAATTTTGTCGTGTTGGGCTTTCTTTAGGGATTCTGTATTTATCTGTTTTAAAGCAGCACACCTCCAGGCCCCGTGTTCACAAAGATTTAAGGATCAGGATCAAGATCAGGATCAAATACAAAAACTCAAACATTCTCCATACTTTATCATCATAGATTAAATATTCCATATTAACTTGATAAAACTGGACCTGAAATAGCATGTTTATGAAATTTTAGAATAAATTTATTGTTATTTTTACAAGATACGGGCATTTTACAGTTGATCCAAATTTTGATCTTGATCCTAAAATTGATCCTCATTTTGATCCGATTATTTTTGTATTTGTTTTGTTATTTGTTGATTTTATCCCAAAATGGGTTGGTTTCTTTGCAAATAAGCATATATTTTCATTTCGAATAAATACCATTAATTATAGCATAATACGATCAGTTTTAGTTTTATAAAACAATGAAAATAAAATCAGGATCAGTTGATCCTGATCCTGATCTTTTCTTTGTGAACACGGGGCCAGAAGATAACACAAAAACTACTGTCTTTGTTTGTTTGTTTTGGGTTTTACGTCACATTGACACAGTATAGGTCATATCGCGACGTTCGAGCTTTACTGGTGGAGGAAGACCTCAGGTGCCCTTCTGTGCATTATTTCAGGCACGAACGGGCACCTGAGTAGAACCACCGACGTTCCGAAAAGCTGGATAGCTTCCTAACATGAAAGAATCCAAAGTCCCTATCGGGATTGGAACCAACAACGGCGAAGGGCAAGTGGTTTGAAGTCAACGACCTTAACCACTCGGCCACGGACGCCCCAACTACTGTCTTACAAATATTGCAAAATTCCTAGTTAAAAGAAATCGCAGTGACACTTGAACAAAATGTTCACAGTTTAACATTTTTGCTCTGAAAACATATAGTTTGCTTTCCCCCCAATATACCTTCGGAATTCTTTCATCCATTTTTCCTTAGAGTGCTACGTGATGGTACAGGACACTATCGGACCTGTGATCCAGAACACATGGAATCAGAATCATATCAAACAAAGGACAAGGACACAAATAAATTACTTTTTTTGTTATTTGTAATAGTTTGTGATTCTAAAAGTTCTACTTGATTAATCATATAATATATTGAATGACCAACATATCAATTAAAACTTTAGCTTGAAATATGATTAGGGCCTACACACTAACAAACATTTATATATGACCCTTGGCAGGAGATTTTTCTGAACCTCTTGACTGTGACACGTGACCATGCTGAATGATTTATCTTCTACTGTGTTAGTAACACAGTAAGAACTAGGGCAACATTGTCGCAAAATACGCCTGTCGAAAGCTTCTGATGAACATGCATAGCAATTAGCTTTGAGTGTGATCTTGACCTTTGAACTGGATCTTGTATGAAGCAATATATTTAATGGTAGTGAACATTTCTATAAAGTATCATAAAAAGAAGGCCAAGATGGTGCTAAATAGCTCACCTGAGTCAAAATTCTTGTTAATTTGGGTTTTTGATAAACACACATTAAAACATGTTTCATGCTAAATATCTAAGTTCTAGCTCATTGGGGTTTTAAAGAAGATTTTTTAAGGTTTTACTATATACCTTTAAGGAAAATCAATGAATCCCAGGGCCGGGCGATTTGATCTGGGGCAATTATTTGAACAAACTTTGTACATGTTGTAGACATTCACACGAAGATGTTTTATGCTTAATATCTAAGCTCTAGCTCTTTGGGTTTTTTAAAAGAAGCCTTTTTAGTTTTTACTACATGTATATACATACAGTGAAATTTGAGAAAACCGGACGCTGAGAAAATCGGAACTCTCTAAATACCGGACGAATAGTTCAGTCCCAAATTTTCCCTTCTTAAAACTATTGTATAAAACATTCTGACAAAATTCACGACACACCGGAATCTGTAAAAACCGAATATCGGACAGTTGAAAGGGGACTACAAAGTCAATTATATAGACATTTACCCTGACAATACCGGACAACGAAGGTGTGAATAACCTTGTGTACTTATCAAGTGGTTGTGTCTAATACGCTTTACTGAGCGGTAACAGAACAATGATATTATGTCTCTTTTTACAGTTTGATTCATTGTAAGGTATAGATGTTACCGTTTTATATAAATGTCAAAATGCACGAGAAATTGATAAGTTAAAATCAGTATGAATTTAAAAAAAGCGTATTATTATACTGCATTGCTTTTTGTATATTCATTTCCCAAAATGACAACGCAACGGAAACGACATTTATCAGCGCTAAGCCCAAAAGAATTTGACAAAAGCTGTCTATAAGTGACACATTTAAATTAGCTAAAGACAGTGAAATTTTACCGAGACCTACTTAAATCAAAGCACAGAAGGCGCTGAATTTGTTTGGGTCTCAGAATGTAAGAAAGGTACAGGTTGTGAGATTATATGTATAGTGCCACCAATGCTTTTCAGCGTTTTAATTGTAGTAAATCAGCTAGAAGACTAATTGCAACACTGATATTCAATCCAATGTTTATTTGACTCAAACAATTTGAAAAAAAAATGAGTTGCCTTTACTGGGATTTCCTAAGCGAGCGCGAAAACCCTTCAGCCACGGTGAATTTATATGTGAACGGCCTGAAGAATTTTTTTAACCATATAATTCGATCTAAATTAGGGCTTGTAATTAACGACTTTAACTGTTGTTTAACACAGATGTAAATAATCCTGGAGCTTACTATAAGCATGTATATTGATAAAGAATCAATTGGCTGCAAGTTCTGTGGTATTTTCTGATCTTTGCAATCTAAATCGTACTGTATATCTGTATGTATTTTCCTGTATAAGTTTATTTTTATGTATTATAATTCATTTTGCAAGGCACCAGAGTTTGATACATACGGAATTCTGCATAACTAGAGTACGTTGCATCAAAAAATCATTTATGTTCATTTTTTACGACAGCCACACTTTATCCTTGCATATCATGGCTACTTCCTTAACAAAGACACTTAAAAAAGAATTAAAAAAAAAAGTTTCCTCGACTGGGTTTTGAACTCCAGACCTCTCACTCACTAAGCGAGCGCGTTACCTCTGCACCACGGAGAAGTTATACCAACAATGTCTGAATAACATCAAGTCATTCTAAATTTAGAACTTCCATTGCATTTCGGGTTTATAATCCTTATTAATTTCGAGGTATTTTGTTCAGGATAAACCTGTTGATTAAAATTGAAGTAAATAATTTAGCGAAAATCTTCTCGCCCAAACAGTCCGACATGTAGAATCTATATATTCCACTACTCGGTTTGTGTAGTATTCGGTAATCGACATCGCTAAAAATAGTATTTTCATTGATAAAATAATATTCATCCGCGTTATTTGTAATTGTGCATTTATTGACAATTCTATAAGCCAACGCTATTTTTAAACTTTGAATGCGTTGTAATTTATTGGATACTTGTAACAAAATAGAAATATTTCTTTCTTTTAAATCGCTAGTTTAAAGCTGTTTTGAGTACTAGTCTTGTTGTTAGGTTTGTCGTAAACTTCTGTGTCAGAGATTGAATGTCCGCTTTGTATTTACTTATTTTCGATCAGAAAAATACAATAAAACAATATTAGAAATCTTCGACCATTCGGGAATTATTTTGCTAGAAAATTAATGTGCCTGTCTCTTTGACCATCTTTACGCAGTGATCTCCCCTGAATTGTTCGGCGTTAGTGTACATATAAAGGGAAGTAACCGCTTCAAAAAAGTGGACTACTTTTAGCATTTGCAATTAACAGCATTAGACTCTGAAATTTCGCTACCATTATTTGTTTGGTCTGACAACCCAAACAAATAAAAATCTCTATCTGACAAATATGGTATAGGCAATATTTACAATTGGGGCATTATTATAAACAAACAAAGTAAACTATGTTCATTAAATCATTATCCATTACCCAAATGTAAACATATGCGGGTGTAATCGGACTTTATCGTTATAAGGTAACTGCTGTTCGTTTAAATCCAATTTTATTTTTATTTATATGCAATAATGGGACAAAAACAATTAAAACATATTGTATAGTATTTTTTATCATTTCTTTAATAAGCAATATACTTACTCATGATCATGACGTTCAGAATCCTTTGTAAGTTATTGCTCTGTTTATAGGATCCTGAATAGCTGAAGGGGACATTGAGAATACCGGACCGCTGAGAAAACTGGACAAAACCCTCGGTCCGAAAGCCGTCCGGTTTTCTCAACTTTCACTGTATAAGGAAAATCAATGACCCTGACAGCATATAATTTAAAATTTTGACCCCAGGGCTGTTATTTAAACAATCTTGATTGACACTCACTAGAAGATGTTTTATGCAAAATATCTAAGCTCTAGCTCTTTGCCTTTTTTAAAAGAAGATATTTGAAGTTGTTTCTTTTGGTTGCCATTGCAACCAGAGTTTTGCATGGAATTATAATATTTGAACAATTTTTAAAGGTGATCCGCAAAGAAACATTCCTGTGAAGATTGGATGAAATTGGCTCAGCAGTTTATGAGGAGATGTGGTTGAAACTAAAAGCTTACGACCAAAGGGACGCGGGACAAATGCCAGACGAAAAGCAATCACAAACAAGAGGGCCATGATGGCCCGGAAATCGCTCACCTGTACATAGGCCCCTGGGCCAATGCCAATTTTAAACCAGGAATTTTTATTTGAACAAACTTGGTAGGCAGCCATTAGAAGATGTTTCATGATAAATATCTAAACTTTAACTCTTTGGGGGTTTTATAAGATTTTTTTAAAAAGTTTTTACTATATACATATAGGAAAAAAACAATGACCCCCCGGAGGGGCCAATTTTGACCCCAAGTTTATTCAAACTTGGTAGACACTAACTAGAAAATATTTCATGCTTAGTATCTAAACTCTAGCTCTTTTGGTTTTTTAAAAGAAGATTTTTAAGTTTTTACTCTATACAAAATAATGAAAATCAATGACCCCCTGGGGCTGGGCCAATTTTACCCCAGGGCTTTTATTTGAACAAACTTGGTAGACATTCACTAGAAGATGTTTCATGCTTAA